ACCAGGGCTACCTCGAAGTTAGAGGGGAGGACCCAAGTCCTCAGGAAAACTGACTGTTAGGGCTGGACCCGGCGGGAGGCATCATCGGAGTCCCCTCTCCCTCCTCCTTTTTGTCCGGTGCCGGGCTTCTGCAGGGCTCTGACCGGTTTCCTGTGTTAAGTAGGAACCTGCTTCCTTTTTAACGTTTTCTTTTTTTTTATGGAGGTATAACATGCATCCAATGAAGTGCTTAAAGTGCACTTATAGTAAGTTTTTATAAAGACTGTGTATTTAGTCGTTTGTATTTTGACAACTTGTTCTTCAGGATACTTGGTAGGTGGCTTAGGAGACTACACCAGCCCAGGAAATAAAGTTAAGATGATTAAGTCTTCCTAAAGTAGACTCCTGGCTGGCCCAGCTGCCCTCCAGCGGGAGGAAGGTGGCCATTGTTGGCTACCCCAACCTTTCAATCTGAATACCTTGGCCAGGAAGCAAGGAAGGCAGCTGGGAGGGTAGTAGGAGAGCATACCCCGAATCTACTGTGTCTTAAATCCCCAGAGGTGTTACTGAGGGAGTGAGACCTGCCCCATTGGACCCTACAGTTGAAGGGGGTGGGGTGGGGACTAAAGAATGCTGACTTTTCTCTTGGCTTTCAGGGAAGTGGTCTGAGCTGGACCGGCAGTGGTTCTGTCCTCTGGCATTCTTGTTTGTGAAGATGGAAAACTTACTATCTCTGGAGTCAAGCTTAGTTGACTTCAGATAACTGAAACCTTGTCTCTTAAGGTATACTCATAGCTTTAGAGTACATATAGTCTCAAGAGTTTTTGGAGGATTTTTGTATATTGTATATAATTGTTCAGGTAGTTGTGGGTTTTTTTTAATTTCTCTGCCAGGAGGCCTCTAAATTGTTAACAAAACAAAGGTTCTTAATTTCGTAACTTCGCTGAGTGTACCTAGAACTAATAGCTGCACTCTTTACGCTGAGTTTCTTCCACAATACTTACCTTGTATCCAGAGATTAAATCCTCTGAAGGAAAGGATTTGGCTCTTAGCCCGTTGTCAGAATGAGTGTGACTTAGCCGAGCACCAGTGGCTGTCCCTACTTAGTTTCCTCAGTTCTGCCGTGAGTACAAGCAGTCAGCAGAATCTCATTGCGAGTTCCGGAGCCCTCTCCCACCCACCTCTGTCTCCCAGTACTGCACACGCTTAGGCTACATCCCCCAGTGTTCAAGGCCGGGGCAGATTATGCACATCTTGCAGTACCCAACCGAGAACAGAGAATTCCTCAGACTTCTGAAAGTCCAAGGAACAGTGGGGCAATAAAGATAACTTAAAAGTAGACTGTAGCGCTCTTGTTCTCACAGTACCATTAACCAGACACATTTGATACAAAACTAGAAAACTACCTTACATTTTTTTTTACTGCTCAAGTAAGTACCCTGTCTTCATCTTTCATCTATAATATGTTGTTTTCATGGAATCACCCAAGGTCTCTGAATGGATATGTTAAGCCTTTTTTACATAACAGAGAGAGGCTGCAGAAGCCCAAGACTGGTTTCATGAGTTAAGTTAAACTTGTGTTGTTTTTGTGTTTCTTGGTTTCACACCTGACTCTGGGCTATATCTGTTGTTTTGTGTGCGTGTGTGTGTAGGGGTTAAGAGGGAGCAATGCAGTCTGAAGTTACTGGGGATAAAACATTACTCTGGTTAGATAAGGTCCATTGCTTTTTTGTGTTGCCACTGAGGTAAACAAGGCGATATAGAAAAATGCTTTCTGCCATCTTGTTTTGACTGTAGTACACTAAATTGACATAAACTGGTATGATGAAGCAGGCACCTCTGTGTTTTAAGAAATGTTCATGTGTTTAGAGCAACTTGGGCACATCAGTGGTGCTGATCTCTTGTGATGTTGTCAGGACATAAAGTCTCTCAGACTTTTTTACCCTTTCACTACATGCGTTAAGGAAGCTTATATTTAGAATTTAAATGGTTTAGAGGAAGCATCTTTATATAAGCCAACTTTGTAAGGAAGTCTTATAAATTGTTTAGAATTAATAGATTTTGTACAGCTGGCCTCTAGCTTGTTCTAGAACTATTTGAGAACTTCTTGGAACAACAGGGAAAAAAACCAATGTGAGAAAATAACTGCTGATGTTAAGCAACTCTCCATGTAGGATGTTTTTTAGTCTCAGAGCCTGAGACTAACGTCTTGGAGTCTTGGTCACTAAACTGCGTAGAGTGTTGTTTATTTCTTGGATAACAGTGATTGAGTCAGTGAGTAGGTAAGTGCTTCCTGGGCAGTAGTCTGTGCCAGGTGCTGAAGAGGCCAAGGGAATGATATTCCAAAAGGCCTCTGGAAACGCCGTGGATGGAGAGGAGCTGGGTTGGCTTCCCTGTGCACTCCGTTTTCTCTCGTTTCTCTCTGCCGCTGGCACGTGAGCCCCAGAAAAGTGGGATCTGCTCATTGCTGACTCCTCAGCGCCTGCTTCTAGAGCCGGCCTGGGACATGAAGGTCTTCCTGTCATTGGCTACATGTTCAGCTGGCGATGGACCACCATTCCTTGCATGGAGGGAGGTGTTCTTTAAACGGGTGATCTCCTGGTGGGCCAAGGCAAGCAGGGTGGTTTCTGGGTCTTCTTTTAAGTAGAGGCCTTAGGAGAAAGGTGTGGAGCTATGGGGCAGGGACTACTAATTGAGCAGCAGCTGAAACTCCTCAGGCTGAGCTACAGGCTCAGCTTAAGCACTGTCCACCCTTCCCACCCTCCCTGACACCAGCCTCACCTTGGCTCACTCAGCCTTTCTCTCTCCGCATTCACTTGGTTGCTAGTTCTGCTGATTCTTTCTCTTTTTTATTTTTTGCTTCCCACTGTCATCACTGACCTGGTTTAGGGGCCTGTAGGCAGCAACTTGACAGAGCAATAACCGAGCATGTCTCCCTGCCTTTGGCCAATTGTATGGTCTCACGCACCTCCAACACCCTCATCAGAGCTCACAGGAACTCCCCGTTCGTCTTGAAGCTGAGCCTCCTTTCCAAGACTTGTTACCTTTCTGACTCTTTATTTTTGACCTCCCTTGAAGAGTCTTCCTAACTGCCCTACCTTGCCTCACAGAACACATACTCAAATGTTTGGACAAATGAATATTGAGGACGGAAGAGAAGGTAATCATCCATCTTGCCTGGCTGCCTTCTCCTTACCCCAAACGTTCTTGGCCCCTGCCCTCTGCTTGTCGGAGTTAGAGAGGGG